ACCTTAATGGGTTTTATAATTTTCACTTCATAGGAAAACATCGATTTCCATGGTGTGTAGTGAAACAGAAGTTGGAAAAGTCGGCCCCATGAGTGTCGCTGGCTCTTCCTATGTAGGTTTGCAATTCTCGTACAACTCTCTTCGTTTACTTAACACTACGACCCGATCGAATGGTAATAACAATGATGATTATGATAATGATGACGATAGTCATGATAGAGCGCTCCTCGATTGAGTGTGACAAAACCAAAACCAAAGAGAACTCACAGTAAAAGCAAGTAAACTTCAAGCCAACTCCTAGTTGACTTGTTAGCTCAGTTGGTATAGCACTGCACCAGTAGCGCAGAGGTCATGGGTTTAAATCTCGTACGGGCTTGAATTTTTTTTTTTCGGCCTTATTTCCACTACCATATAAGTAGGGGTTATTACTGCGAGGATCGCTTTCATACATTTCAGAAGACTCTTGTTTCCGTGTTTTTTTTTTTTTCCCAACAATTCGAAGACGGAAATCGTGCCGTTTCTCCAAGTACTTTGGTGATAATTGTCACTATTCCAAAAAATCTCAAGGTCACAATCTACAAGTCCCTAGTCATCGCTGTCTGACTTCACGAATAACAAAACCTTGAGGAACATGGTCCTCTGCTTGAAATAGCGTTCTTATTTGTCATAATGGTCGCTAACTTCCCGGCGATACTTCATGCAATCTTCCATCTTGGACGCTCATGTGAAGATCCAAACCTTTCCTGTTTTTAAATTGTTTATTTTTCATCCTTTACAGTCAACGTCCCTGCACAGCATTTGCGCATGTCCAGGAAGATGTCTGCTCGATGCCAAAGAGGATGCCGGGATTCGGTTTGATTCGTCAAATGTTGGGGGAAGTGGATTGAGTGTCGGTGCTATCATGGGAATAGCGTGAGTGAATAACTGTACTTTTCTCACAATTGAATGGTAACCACCCAAATCAAATAAATCGGAACATTCTTTTAAAGAAAAAAAGACATCGCTAATTTAATAGTTTCTCTCCGGCAACTAATCTAGTGTCCAGGTTTCCTCATTGTTTTATGAACTGAGTCCGATTTGACGATGAAATTTTCTAAGTCTTCCTACATCAGAAAATTGTCTTTTCAATAGTTCTTGAATCAAAATTTACAGTGGTTTGAGTCGTAAGAACCAAATGTAGCCGGTCACATGAACACTAGTTTAATTTTCATTTCATTTTTCCTTTTCTCTCACAGAATTGCAGGTGTCATCTTCTTAATCGTTTTGCTTTTTGCAATTTTTATATGCTGCCTGCGCCGTAAGCTGCCCTCTGGTATTCCTAAGCCATCTGTCTGTACCACGGTGAAGGTGGGTTGATAAAATGAAATACGTTATGGTAAATTCTTCAAGAGGCCTTTTAACCTAATCATTGAAGCAAGGGCTGAGAAAAGATTGACGAGAAATAAAGAGTATAGCCTGTTGCATGCGTTTAAATGCTCTTCGTCTTGATTACTCAGTGGTCTCCTTGCACAAGCTCCAAAGAGTAAAACGAGACGTTCTCGGTATCTTGAGGAAATCTTCAAATCTTCAGGTCTTCCTGCCGGCGGAAAAACGCGCGTTCTGCAGCACTAATAGCAACTAAAAAAGAAAGACGACAATTTATATTTTTTGTTGCTTATTTGTTATGTATCGTTTTGTGCATAAAGCTTACTAACACAGTATCTTCTTGGTTTAATTTGTACTGATCTAGGTTGGATTAGGTATGATCAAGAAGAAACTTTGTCCATGTTGCTAAAGAAGGCGGAAGAAACGTGTTCCCAACTGATCTAAACCAGAGCGGTTGCGTTCGAGCTGACCAAATGTAATTTTTGAACGACTTTTAGAAGTCAAGAATCTGCCAGCGCAGAGCACTTGAGCGAAAAATACTGCGTTCTTTATTTCTTGTTGTGTGAATACAAGCAAAGAACAAAGCGTCTTGCCCTTATTTTGAGCAAACTTGGCGCAAACACAACATTGTTTTCAAATTTTTCTGGTCACTTCAAGTACGCACGTGCGTATATGCGTATAGGACGCTACGCGCCTGAAATAAACACATTTTATCGTTACGATTCGCCTCGAGGCTGTTTTCAGGTCAATCCTCAGTCTGGTACCCAGACCTTTCACGGTCAAGCAGTTGTTGGTTTAAGTAACACGGTTGGATCTGGGTCGGAGATTTGTCAATTCTTTTACTCCCAAGATCTCATTAGTGATTCTCCTTACTCTCTGCCATACAATTGTTATGGTGTTAGATCGGAGAATTTAGTAGTGGCTCGACTCATAATCCCCTGATTGACATTTTCTTCATTCTCAATTCTCATCGCTTGTCTGCTTAATATTGTATTAATTTTGTAGGGAGAAATTCTGTTTTGGTCACTCATCCAACAACCCCAACCCCTCACCCTTTAAACCCCGAAGAGTGACTAGCTTTTAATTTCTCCTTACGATATCATCCCTGAATCAAACTTTAAAGGTCATGAGAATAATGGAAAAGATCAACAGCCACAGATGCTGTTGATTGTTAAGCAAATTCTCCTTGTGAGAACCTTAGGAAATGACTGTATAGAGAACAGTTTGGAGAATAAATATACGGATGTTGGGTGTGAAAGGGATGAAAGAGAGCTACGCCCTTGTCGTTATAAAGCGCCAGACGCAGAAAAGAAGTTTACTCGTCTCCAGTCGTCATCAAAATATGTGGTACGACGGGAGAAGAAGTGTGTGGCCTCTCTTCCTTACCTTATGAATTTGCGCTCCCACCCTGGCCGCGCAGGTTGCCCGCAATTTATAGGCGACTGGGGACGAGTTAGGACGTCATCATGCCGTGACAATCATAAGGATACCTTTAAGACATTCTTGTATTTCTAATGTGGCAGATTTTTAGGAACCATTTTCACCTTTCAGAAAAAAAATGCCGATGGATTCTTGAGAGAGAATAAAAAATTTGTGACTGCTTGCAGTGTTTTGCATCCCCACCTCTCTCTCTTGGTTAGAGTCTGCAAATTTGGTTCCAGATTTCTTGCGGGCGCACATTTTCGTGTTTCCTCTGACATTATGACCTATTAGGTAATGATTGGTCAGGAGCAGTAGTTTTCTTAGCCCAACTTTTGCATCCTAGCCATTGTTTAATAAATTTTCCGCAAAAAAACAAAAGGAAAGTTTCCTGGGACTTGTAAGATAATTTACAAATGGCCGCTTCACCAGAAACTGTCGACGTTGTCGTCATAGGAGGGGGCATGTCTGGCCTTTCTGCAGCGTACGAATTGTTGAAGAAACGGCCGCACACGAAGCTTGTTGTTCTCGAAGCTAAAGGTATGCGTAAAAGTTTTGACAGGTCGATAATTTGTTGGTGCAAACTTTTTAAGGGCATCGGTAAGTTGATCTTTTGAGCGTGACCTTGTAATACATGCTAAGCTTGCATGCCGGACAGCTGGTCTCTCTTAAATCTTCCTTCACGCCGTTAAATTTTCATGTTGCACTCTTTACAAGTATCGTACATTTGTAAAAAATTGATGTAAAGTCTCGTAATGTAGAGCTCATCAAGTCCTTGTGGGCGATCACGCGATGTTCATCGCTCCCAAGATGTAAACGCTAAGTAGTTCTTAGCCCTTTTCTGCAAAACGTTTCTAATATTATTTTTATCTCTAGTATTTGTTTTAATCAAGCAATTACCTTAATAGTTTATATTTTATATCTCCTCATCATTTACTACTTTTGAGTAGTTAATTGTTTAAAAAAAAGTCAATTGATATCGTGGGGAGAGATTACTTGGAGAGATACGTCAAACTTGCCATTAAATTACATTTCTCTCATGAACTTAGTGCGTGATTCAGGGGTGAGGTGGAAAATAAAAATTGGATGCTAGTCGCTCTAAGAGGTCAAAGGACTCATAGATAAAGAATTCATTCAGAGGCACAACCTCCTTGAGTATAATCTTTTGATCAAAATGTGTTTTGAAAACTTAGACAGAGTTGGTGGAAGACTTGACAGTGTAGAACTCAAAACTGCAAAAGGAACTGACAGATGGGATGTTGGAGGACAATGGGTATGTAGGTGAGAGCAACTGAACGTGATATCCTATTCATTACAGGTTTATGAAATCTTATCAACACCTAAAGTAAAGGAGATTTAGTATATATACAGTAGAACACCACCAACTCAGACTCCCAAGAGAAACAAAAAATGGCTCAGGTTGCTGGAGTTATAGCTGATAGTAAATGAACAATAAAGTGGTGTCAAGGGAAATGGGATTTTGTTTGAGTTACTGGGGGGCTCAGTTGATGGAGTTCAAGTTATCAAGTTAGCGAGGTTCTACAGTAGGAAAATAAGTTTACTTCCTTGAGCTAAATTTTTTGTTTCCTTCCCAGGAATCAAAAGACTCTTATGAGTCTACTTGAGGAATTGGATGTTGAAGTGTATAATCAATGGTACAATGGAAGCAAAGTGTTACACAGCAGTAATGATGTTATTACTAAGTATTCCGGTAATATTCCACCCGTGTCTTATATTGCAGTTCTTGACCTGTTGTGGTTAATCTATAAGGTAAGTTGCAGACAACTCTGAGTTAATAGTTTGTCTACTTAAAGCTGGTCGACTCAACTTTCAAATTTGCTTGACCCAGTTTTGCTAGTTTAAGCAGGAGGCCGGGGGGAGGGGGGTGAGGGGGCATAGAACTAACATTAACACTTTCTATTCCCTGCTCTTCCCCAGCCTTCACCTCTTCTCCCACTGCTTGCCATTCTCTGCAAAACATAGCTAATAATGACATAGGAAGGTTTGTCTTTTTTAATTTAAATCCCCAGTCTTGTCTGCTTGAACTTCTCTTTTTACTATCCTCCTGTACCCTCCTGTCTGTACCCTCCTGTCTGTCCCTGTCTGTACGTACAGTGTGTTTATTAAAGCTGGATATTAATATAACTTATCATGTAAAGTTAATTTTAGTGTTTTCTTTTTCTTTTTGCTTGTTAAGTTTTTGCTCACTCAAAGCCCCATTTTCAGGGGAGAGAAGATGAGAGAGCCTAGAAACTAGGCTGGCTCACCAAGTGAACTGAGCACAGAGCTGGAAAGAGAGACTTAAATGATAGCTTATTTTACAAGACAATTGAAATATTTTTTCCCCAATGGTCTACAAGGTTGAGAACATGTGCAAAAAAGTTCCCATTGATGACCCTAGTAAGTGCCCTCGTGCTATAGAATGGGATGGAATGACTTTAGAGACATGGAAACAGCAGACACTATGGACAAATGGTGAGAAATGTGTTACAGTATCACACATTGTTCAGAGATGTACCCTAGGCACTCTTTAATCCTTAGGATCTCTCTAGATAGAAACCTGGGAACTTTCTTGTTAACTCTCCCCTAGTCTGTGTTGTAAGAGTTTTTTTCAAGGCTCTCTCACTGATTTTTCTCCCTCCCCAGTTAACCAACTCCCTCAATTTCTAAATCTACCCTGGCATATTTGAAAATGCTTCCAAGTGCGATTTTATTCTATTGTTGTTATCAGATTAATATCATATTATTATTTTTTATCTCCATGACTATTCTACTTGACAATTTTATATTTAATACTATTTTCTATTTTAGCTATAAAAGAGTTATTTGATGTAGTGATAGGCATCATGTTTGGAGTGACACCATCTCAGATGTCTTTCCTGTATTTTCTACATTACCTGAACTGTTCGGAGGGGTGGTCTATAATGACAGATCCAACTGTAAAGGGCCATGCACAAGAGTGGAAAATTAAGGTATTGGTACTTGATGTATAACTTTTCAAGTTTCAACTACAGTGGAATCAGCACTGGTTAATCTTTTCGTGATCAGTGCCTCCCCCAAATATAGTGCCAACTCACCAGGCCAATACAGTGGAATCCCGATTTCTTGAACCTCCAGGGAAACGCAAATTGGTTTGAGAAATCGGGAGTTCGAGAAATCGGGAGTTCGAGAAATTACAAGTGAAGCAAATCCAAGGGAAACAAGGTTTGGTTCGAGATATCAGGAGGTTCGAGAAACCGAGGGTTTGAGAAATTGGGATTCCACTGTATATCAGACAAGTGCCCCTTTCAAATAATCGTCCCCCCAGCCCTCCTCCCTTATTTTCTTATAATAGGGAATCACAAAGAAAACCTGTTTTATTTTGCCAGTATATTTATAATTTTTAGCTCTAGCCACAGCAGAATCAGTACAGGTTAAATGTGTCTTGATAACTGCCCCCTCAAGTAAGCACACTCTTTCCAATAAAGGTAAAGGTAAAGTCTGTTTACGAGCCTAGTGGCCCATTAGGCTGGTGCTTAACTCCGGTTTCTGTAGCATGAAGCAACTAGAAGTATTTCTACTCCCCCCTGGATGGGATGCCAGTCCATCGCAGGGTTACCCCCAGCATTAAATTGCGGGTACCCATTTAAACACCTGGGTGAAGAGAGGCACTGTGAGAGTAAAGTGTCTTGCCTAAGAACACAACACAATGTCCTGGCGGGGGCTCGAACCCGGACCACTCCATCCGGAGTCAAGAGCACTAACCATGAGGCCACCGCGCCTCCCCTCTTTCCAATAAGCACCCCTCCTTTTAGCCAAAATTCAAAACACAGTAATTAAATACATGGAGTGTGGATTGTATTGGAACCTTCTATTAAATGATATAGAACGAAATTTTTACAGTTAGAAATAAAATATTTTAAATTACCCAGTAAGTTATTACCCAGCACATATTATTAAATGTTTGTATAATGTATATTTTGTTTTTTGCTCAAAGGGAACTGCACATGGAGTAACTGAGCTACTCACCAGTAGACTTGGAAAAGGTAGAGTTCTTTTAAATCAGCCAGTCACATCAATAAAACAGGTAAACATGTAACACATCTCCTGTGACAGGGGTCCAATAATCCAATGTCAACAGATTTGAGATTCTAAGATTTTATCAGTTCAAGTTCTATAAGTATGTAGTACATGAGAAAATAAGCAATCACTTCCTGTTTTGCTTATCACTTTAAAAGTCGCAGGGTTTTGCTCTAACAAAGCCTGGATACTGTGTTAGTAAGAGTAAGGGACTTTTAACTTTTGTCTTAAAGCAAGTTTTGTGATTAAATTTGATCAATTGAATTGCTCATGGAGAAAGTATTGGTATTCAGTTCTATCAAAATGTGACTGCATGCATACAATGTTGTGGATGGCTAATGATAAATTGTAACTTGAAGATCTATGAGATTCTGCTCTCACAGTGCTTTTCTTTGCCAGTAAAGTATGTGAAATAAATATAGATATATGTGTAACAGAGTTAAAATAACTCTTACTTAACTTAACTTAACCACCTTAACTACATGGAGGGAAGCATTAATATGAATTGAAATTTGAACAGCAAATAACATGTCTTGATTCATTTAACACATTTTTGTTTTGAAAGGAAGATGACCATGTGATAGTAACCAGCCTTGGTGGCCAGTCATATAATGCCAAGTTTGTAATTCTAGCCATTCCACCTCATTTAATAGGTTAGAATGAGAACAATAATTATTTGAATATTTCTCTGTAAGTATTGTGTAATTTTCATTTTATAATCCACCAGATATTTTTGCTCTATAATGCGATTGATCATGTGACTGAATGTTCCCAAACTAAAACTGGGGGATATCGCAAGATATCACCCAAGCAATATATTTCCCTAATTTTCAGCAAGTCTTCGTTTAAATTTAATTCAAGATGAGAGAGTGTTCTATGGCTGTTACTTAAGAAGGGAAATATTTGTGTGTTCATAAAGTCACACCACAGAACATTCAAAACAAAACATCCCACGCAGCGAACAGTGAGCTTTTTTCAAACATTTTTTCACATCTGTTGCAAAATATTTGAAGGATAATGAACACAATAGCCTCTATTTTACAAAAGAGCTAGTATTTGTCCTTGGACATTGTCTGTTTCTAAAAGCTCATAGTTTTCCTCGAGCTTTTCTCTTGGAAAACTGTTTACATCTTAGAATGGATAATGTCCAAGGAGAAATATCCATGCATATTTTTGCTCCAATTAGATGCCATTATTTATAAATATTGCCAACCTGGCCTATATCTAATAGCCATGCTGATTCATACCTTTTTTCTGATTCATTCTATTTTTACCTTAGAGGTCTAACTTTATTGCCAATTTTTCCAAGGTCAGATCAAATTTAGTCCACCCCTCCCATACAACAAGCAGCGTCTTATTCAAAACATGCCTCCATCACATTTGATGAAGTTTGTGGCAACATACTCAACGGCGTTCTGGAGGAAGGCGGGGTTATCAGGAGACATGGCCAGAAACACAACTAAAGGATTGTGTGAGAGTAATCCTATTGCAATAACATTTGATGCCACATCAAGTGATGGAAACCCTGCAATTGTTGGATTTATAACTTCATATGCGGCAGCTCAGTGGAGCACAAAAGCGGTAAAGTGATATTTAATGATATCTTTAAAGGTGAAGCTAACCTCTAGAAGTGATTAACATGTAACTTCTCCTGATAATATTTATTTAGTATATTATACAGCAAACAAGGGAAGTATGCAAGTTTTCCTTGTAACTTCTGAGTTTTGATCCTGAATTTTTTTATTGCTAGGATAAAAGTAAAAGAGAAGCCATCCTCAAGGCTTTGAAATTGTATTTTGGTGAAGAAGCTGAGAATCCTCTAGATTTTACAATAAAGGTGGGTTCAACGGCTTAAAAAACAGATCTGTGAAGTTTAAAGTGTAAGCTTTACTTTGGAGAATTTTCAACAATTTGTGCAAGATTTCCATGAAAATAAGGGATTCAATTTTGAAATTGAGGAGCCTTTGGAAAAAATTCATTTTTAAAAGAATTCTCTTTGTGAGTTGAACACCATATAATGATTCGATTTGGTGCCTTTGTTCCATTGAGCACCCCTCTCAAATTTGTGTTTGTTGGTAAGTGCCCCCTACTGAGCTAGCAGTCACACTGCAATAAGCACCCCTATTCTAATCCTGTTGATCCTTTTTTTATAAACATCACAACTTTGTTCCATTCACTCTGCTGTTTCTCAAGAGAGGAAATAAATGTCCTGCCCTTGATAAGTGCCCTCTCTTTATCAGTCAGTCCTTATAAATGACCCAGCCACTCTGTTAATTTTTTTTTTATTCATCGAGAGTACAGACAAGAAGATGGATATTTTGGAGTCTATGAGAAATTCTAACCTAAGTCAAATGTACAGACTTAAATCTAGCAGTTTTATTACTGTAATGTTTCCCTAGTTCAAGATACCTACTAGAACTTCTACAATTCTTGAACAAAGAAATCACAAATCAACTTGCTAGTTTTAAATCATTTTGACATCAGATTCACCATCAGCATGAATGGATATTATTTTCACAAATATAATTATAATTACAATAACATTATTTTCTCAGTAAATTGATAGATTTTTGAGGTTACATTTAGACATTTCAAGTCACGTGTGTCACTCATATTTATTTATTTCATTTTATTTTATTTTATTTTATTTCATTTTATATAATCAGGACTGGTCAAAAGAGATGTGGAATGGTGGATGTCCAGTAAACGTGATGGTCCCTGGAGCAATTACAAATTATGGAGACTGTTTACAGGAGCCATTTCTTAGGTAGGTAGGCATTATTATTAAGACTAAACCCTTGCAGGTAGTGTTAAATCCAGGTGGAGGTTCACAGGGGTTGGGATCTCCTCTTACAACTTGTTTGACACCATACTTCTTGCAACAAGATTGCATGTTACATCACCATATGTAATTTTTAATATTTACTTGTCTTGTAAAATTTTTTAGCTTATCTAAGCTATAGCATTTAAGAAATTACATGTTTTCTGAATCAATGTTTGGACCTCCTTCCCCTTTCAAAATTTTGCAGACCCACACTGGCTTAAGTGGGTCTTGTCTAGAAATTCGAAAAAGTAAGTTTGGAAACACTAAAGAGAAAACGTAACCTCACACCATACTCCCAAAATAATTTAACAGATGTTGAGAAACTTGAGAATTAAAGGGGTGTTATATAGTGGCATTATCTTCTCTATAAAACCATCAGTCAACCCTTGATTCCCTAAGAGGAACATGCATCCAATTTTTCGATATGGTATCACTGTTGATTCAGACATTAAAGTCATGAGAATGAAATAAATGGTGGCCATGTAAAGAAGCTCTTGACTTTTGCACTCAATGTGTTGGTTTCAGAGGAAATTCTTAGAAGAGTGTGGAGGATGTTCATGCCGATGTGAGGGTGTGAGTAGTTAAGCTCTCAGTCTACACAGAGTGAACTAATTTGTAACAATATCATCTTTTGTCAGAGTTCACTGGGCAGGGACTGAAACAGCAACTGAATGGCGTGGTTTTATGAATGGGGCAGTACAAGCAGGCCAGAGGGCTGCAAATGAAGTGTTGGACAGCTTAGGTTGTGCACCAGTCAAACGTGGTCACACTGAGTAACACATCTGGGTGTTGCTTGCAAAATGTACATTTATATTTATAACTCTGGTCAACTCTTCCATGTACACCAAATCGAAATATGGAGTCCAATTTGAATTACTATTGTTCTGGACTGACTAGCCTGTGATAATCCTTTTGTGTTCCCACACGAAGACAAGGCTAGTAAGTCCAGAACAATGGTAATTCAAATTGAACGCCATATTTCGATTCGGTGTATAGAATAATTTTTTTATATAATTATGGAGAATACTCTTGCATAAGTATTATATTAGTGTTTCAATAGATTAATAGATAGATTTAGCCAAGCCTAAAAGCAGAGCTCCCAAGTTCACAATATCAGTGATAACATAAAAGATGTGCATTTGCCAAGACTCGCCCCAGACACCACTCCCTTTGTTTTGATAGTCTCCCCCCACCCTACCCATGCAATCTGAAGGCACATATGTACGTATGTATGCTCAGTCAGTCATGTGACAACCAAACGAAAAGAGGTTGACCATATTCCATGGGTATGGAGCTCTGCCCCACGCACGCTTTGTGCTCGTGGGAGCCCCGCTAATATTTAAATGGTTTATTTGATCTTTACCATAGAAGGCTTTGTGTAGGACAAAACAAAATAACATTAAACAAGAACTAAAACAAAAAACAAAACAAAACAAAATGAAACTTCAAAGAGATCAATGCAATGGTGTTGTGGCTAGATGTTGCAAACCTCTATAACCTGAATCAGTTTATAAGACAAAATTTTATTGCAAAAAAAAAAAAAAAGGTTTGTAATTCTTGTAAAAGGAAAAGTACAACCGATGTAGATGATATGCCAAGTCTAGGGAAACAAAAATTCTTGTTGCAATTATTTTCTTGTGAGGGGTGTAAGGAAGGGGTCAAGGACATTGAAAGAAAACTAAAACTTAAGACACAGTCATATTTGAAACCAAGGTATATGTGAAACCAACAAACACGGGTCTACTATTACACTACCAAAGCCATGTAGACAAATCGCTACAAACGGAGCTTGCTGAAAACTATGCTAGATCGCGCACACCGATTATCTTCCTCCTGGGCCCATTTCTCTGATGAGTGTGATCGCCTAAAGAAAGTTTTCGCACTGCTTAAATACCCGGAACGCCTGGTAAATTCTACCATTAACACCCTCTTACAATCAAGAATTGTTGGTAAGCAGCCCACACAGACGCCCAAAGAATCAATATCCATTGTTCGTGTGGTCATACCTTTCAAAGATCAGGAATCAGCAAATTATGTTAAGAGAGAGCTCAAGGATCTTAGCATGAAGGTGCAGACAACTGTCCAGCCAGTATTTGTTAGCCGCAAAGTTGGCCAAGATCTTAAAGTACGAGAAATCAAGCCACAGATCGTGAACCAACAACGCGTCGTTTATCAATTTCAATGTGACCTGTGTGATGCGGGTTA